AGTTTATGTAAAGGCAATGTCCATGTAGCTCATGCTTGTAAGTGTCAATGCTGTGAAGGATCCCAGGATTCATCTCCCAGGATGACAAGACTGTTGTGTGGTTTACCAGGCTAACAGCTAGAAGTTTAGCAAACTTCAGTCAAGAACTGGAAAGTAATACAGAAAAATAGATAAATTTGTATCTCCTCCAAGGATGGTGTATGTAGATACAAGACAGAGAAACTGCCCCAATGGCATCAGAGGCCTCATCTGTGCTCACAGTGTGTAAAAAGCAACAGCTTCCTCTCCTGTGAAATCCTTTCCTGGAATGTGCAGAGAGCTGGTCATTCAGGTCCCAATGACCCTGAGCAGGGCCAGCATGTCCTTGATGTCACCTGCTCTCTTGAGACTTCACTTTCTAATTTTCCCATTCATTGTGTTGGTGGTTGGCAATACTTGGAAGAAGGTGATGGTGAGGGACCCCTTGCCATGCCCTAGCACCTCCAGAATTCCCACTTGTGCTGCCAACAAAGAGGTCACAGCACAGGTGGGTGTTTGGAGCTGTGCATGTCCAGCAGCTTGGCAGTGGCTCTACCTGCCTGGCTATGCCCACCAGGTACTGTAGTCACCTCCAAACTTCTCTGTATTGACTGTGGCAATCCAGCAGGGCCAGTGGTAGTCACATATCTCCCCAGATTGTTTCCATCTTTCTCTACCCACACTGCAGTGACTGCAGAACCCGCCTTTCAGTAAGCAGAGGTCCCTCAGAAGAGACTCTGACAAACACTGAAAGTTGACTCTACCTTCACACCCCTCTTAAACACGCTGTCACTTCCCATCTCTGGCTGTAAGAGCTTTCAGGAAGAGGCACATGCTGCCTTGGCTGCCCTCAGTGTGTGTCCTGGGCACACTGTGAGCACTGAAGAAATAATCACAGCTCACATCCACACTCCTGCCTCATAAAGTCATAAATTAAGTTTCAATGTGTTTCCACTAACTTTTGGCATGGCATAACCCATGTAGTGTCACAAACCTTAACTCAGTCACTTGCCCACGTGAGCACACAGGGCATGCTGTGTGTCCCTGGTGCTGACACAACAGAAGTGACAGACAGCAGCTGCTCCACAGAACAGACACATCAGTGCCAAAGGAAGAACCGTCCCAGGTTCAAGCACTGGTGTGTAAGCTGATTCCTGATGAACCTGATGAAGAGGAGCTTCAGGTAAACTGAAGATAGGGAAACAAGCAAGGAATGGACATATTTAAACTGGCAACATTTTTCATAAAATCATGGAATCACAGAATGCTTTGTGTATAAAGAAGGCTCAACTCATTCCACCCCTGCTATGTGCAGGGACACTTCCACTAGCCCAGGTTGCTCCAAGCCCTGTCCAACCTGGCCTTGGACACTTCCAGAGATCCAAGGGCAGCCACAGCTTCTCTGGGCACCCTGTGCCAGGGCCTACCCATGCTCACAGACAAGAATTCCTTCCCAATATCCCATCTCTCCCTGCCCTCTGGCAGTGGAAAGCCTTTCCTCTCCTGTCCTGTTACATCACATCCTGTCCCAGGTCCCTCTCCAGCTCTCCTGGAGCCCCTTTAGGCCCTGGAAGAGGCTCTGAGCTCTCCCTGGAGCCTTCTGTTCTCCAGGTGAACACCTCCAGCTGTCCCAGCCTAGCTCCAGAGCAGAGGGGCTCCAGCCCTGGGACCATCTCCAAGGCCTCCTCTGGACCCACACAAACAGGCCTGGGTGTTTCTTTGCTGAGGGCCCCAGAGCTGGACCCTGCAGTCCAGTGTACCCAGATCTGCTCAGAGCCCCTCTCCCCAGAGCACAGCATGTCCTGTTCCTTCTGTCCCAAGGGCTGCTCTCCCTTCTCTTCTCCAGCTGCCTTATGTTTGACAAGCACCGTGTTTCCCAGCAGATAGGCAGGCCCCACGCCTGCTGAGCCTTTCAGCCTCTCTGCTCAGCCTCCAGCTGCTTCCTGCACCTTCTCCATTTCCCTGTGCCTGGCACCATGGCCAGGGGGGCACTGCCAGGGCCCAGGGAGAGGCTGGTCGGGAAGCTGGCACAGCTGCCCAGCTTTCAGCAGTTTCTATAGCTGCACAGAGATTTTGGCAATCCTTCTTGTACCGTTCTGACCTGAGGGGTTTTGGAGGTGTTTGCAACCGGGGATAACAAAGCCCTCTTGTCTACACCAAAGGCACTTTGTGTGGAGTCTAGGTATTGCTCTGATTTCATTTCCTGAGCATCCCTCGTGGACAGCTTCCCACAGAAACATGCCCCATTGAGTCAGGAGTGAAGACTCATTGCAGTCCAAACAGAGCCCTGCAAACTTTCTCAAAACCAGGTCCTGTTCCACAGCCAACTGCAAACATGTTTGTGTCTTGAACCTCCATTCACTGCCTGGGATGGTTTTCACAAGTTTCTAGCTGGAAATGGAGCCAGGTAACACTTGTGAGTCTTGCTTGAGGGCTGTGAGCCTTTCTGTGGCACGGCAGAGATCCCAGGTGTAGGAGCTGGCCTACAAGGAAATAATGTGCCATTTACAGAATCATAGAATGCTTTGGGTTGAAAGTGACCTCTAAAGGTCATCTAATCCAATCCCCTGCAAGTAGAAAGTGGGTTCTGCAGTGACTGCAGTGTGGGCAAAGGTGGAAACAATCTGGGGAGATATGTGACCACCACTGGCCCTGCTGGATTGCCACAGTCAATACAGAGAAGTTTGGAGGTGACTACAGTACCTGGTGGGCATTGGGACATCTTCAACTACACCAGGCTGCTTAGAGCCCCATCCAACCCTGAATGTTTCCAGGGAAGAGACATCCACCACTTCTCTGAGCAGCCTGTGTTAGTGTTTCACCATGTTACCATAAAAAATTTCTCCTTTATATCAAATCTGAATCTCCCCTCTTTTAGATTAAAACCACCACTCCTTGTCCTATTGCTACAGACCCTACTAAAAAGTCTGTCCCCATCTTTTTTATAGGCCCCCTTTAGGCACAAGACGGAGCTCTGAGGTTTCCCCAGAGCCTTCTCTTCTCCAGGCTGAGCAGCCCCAGCTCTCTCAGCCTGTTTCCAGAGCAGAAGGGCTCCAGCCCTCAGCATGGCCTCCTCTGGAACAGCTCCATTCTCCCACTGAGTTTGCAATACATTATGGCAGCAAAGACACAACAGGCAGGCAGAAATTTAACCCAATTTTCCCCTTTCCAGGTGAGTACTGCAGTCCCTGGCTGCCTTTGTCTTATCCCAGTTGGTATCAGTTGAAAGAACCCTGCTCCTCCCCTGGGTTCTTTGGGCAGGCTCAGGGACCCAAACCCTCCTGTCTCTGTGTGCCAGGCCCCAGCAAGTGCTGAGCAAGGCACAAACAGCAGCACGTGTGGAGCTGGCTTCAGGGCAGTGGGGACAGAGTGGCCTCTAGCAGGGTGACCCCAGAGCCGTCCTCTCTCGCTGTGCCCTCAGCTCCTTGCACAGCAATTCCCTGGGAGCTCAGCAGCCAGGTACTGACTCAGTCTGGGAGCTTTGCCTGAGAAAGAAGCTGAGGTGTTGGCCCCAGTCATTTGTAAGTTATCAGAGAAGTTGAGCTGCAGTGACATCATCTCCTTCTTATGTTACTACAAGGAACTCAGATCCTATTATGGGAGAGGAGGTAACTCAATCGAGCCTTTCAAGATAAACTCAGACAGGAAGAGAGACACGATTGCCTGAAGGCACCAATTAGACATTTCTGGTGAGCTCAGCTCTGTTCAGCTGACACGTGTGTACACTGGGGCCAGGGAGACAGGAGCTCCTCTCTCGTCTCAGGGGTGGGGT